CCGGACATGTCCGGGAAAAACCGGACGTATGGTAACCCTACTTGTATCCCACAAAAGGCCTCTCAAGTGCTGGGTATATGAGGCAGGGATAGGAGCACTTTATGGATAATGTAGTGCTCCTGTACTGCTGGTATGAATTTAATTCACAAGGGGAACTTGTACAAAAGTTTGTTCCAGCCACACTCCAGGAGTGTTATACGTGGGAGAGCATAGTCTTGAGAAGTACGGATACAAGAGCATTTTCTGATGAATACCTTATGGACATATTATTGCAACCATAATACAAATATTTTAAGAGCTCAGATGCGTTCTCTTCACCCAGTTCTCAAACAACTATAAAGACATTCTTGATTTTATTTCCAGTTTTCATTTCCTGAAATAGTCTGAAGGCACTTGTTTGCTTTCAGAGACTAAGGCCCTGATCCTGCAATCTGATCCGTGCAGCAGAACCTCAGTGACTTTGCTGGGTCTCCCTGCAGTCACAGGGGCCCAGCTCCATGGATTCAAGTGCAGGATCTGGGCCTAACCTTATTAAAAATGAATTTTTCCCATTCAATCTGTAATTGACACTGATTATTCACTCAAGCTCATGTAATCCAGTTGAGTGCAGTGGTATTTGGAATCACATTACATGTCACCAGGGCAAGTCTACACTACAGCGCTACATCAAAACAGCTGCACCAAGTCTGGTGAAGAAACGCTATGCCAATGGGAGAGCGCTCTGCCATTAGCATAATTACTCCACCTCGGTGAGAAGCGGAAGCTATGTCAGTGGGAGAGCAGTGTGGACAGTTCAAGACTTGCGTTGCTCAAGTGGGGTGGGGCTTTTTCACACTCCTGAGCAACATAAGTTAGACTTAAGCGGCTGTGTAGACCTGCCCTTACTTATACTGCTTGTCAGCAGTTTTTCCAGGTTGTTTAAAAATGTCCTTCCCACCCACTTCCCTTAGAAATTGGCAATACTCCCTATGAAATAAGCTATAAAACAACTGACTTGTTTTGAAATGATTGAAGATCTAGTAAAGGATTTGTACTGGAAAGTCCACCTAGTCTTTAGCTGTAGTGGAACAGATGTGCCATCGTCATTATACTTGACTTTATAAAACAATTGGTTTAGTGCTACTAGATGTTTAATATGGCCTCTTGCTTTAGGAAGCTCTTAAGAGGATAACCATGATTTAAAAAAAATATAAACGACAAAAGCCTCTGAGGTTGCCTGGAATTTCATTGCCTATACAGTGATTTTATGTGGGCTTACAGGAGAGTTAATACCAATTAGAGATGTAACTCATCTTCAGTTATCATTAAAGCAAGCACTGATCTGACTGTGGAAAGCCATGTGTGGGATGAGTGAATGTGTGAGTTTGATTATTTGGGAATGTTTGTGCATAATATGTGCAGGTTGTCTTATCTTTCTAATACTTTGCAGTCCCCCTGCCCATGAGGCTTATGTCTTTAATTTCCTAATAGCATGACTCCTTCCAGTTTTGCCTCTCTGTCGCTTGAAGCAGTATCCTTGCTCATTGTTTTGAAAAATCATATTATGCCTGTCCATCTTTTTGTTCTTTACATTGGCTGCCTATAAAGTGGTGGATTAAGTTTAAATTGGCCCCTTGGTTTCTAATGATGTAGGCACTGGCTATACTGAAAACAGCCTTGTTGAAGTTTCCTTTTTATTGATAAGTTGTGTTCTAGAGCTCCCACTCTGTTGCTTTATGGGTTGGCCTTTGCTGTGTGCGTAGACTTTGAATGTGGAATTTCCTGTCCCTGGACATCTATCTCAGCTAGTCTTGCCCCATTTATATATGGCTTAATTTTTTCCCCAGAGGTATTTTTAGTAGGACCACTGTTGGTCTCATATTTGTTTGTTCCTTTTTTAAGTTAAATCTCTTTCCAATTATCTACATGTAGAGTTATAGGAAGGCAGTGTTGTTGTAGGTGAAGCATAGGAATGCCTTAAGATATTTTAAATCAGTTGTAATTATTGTTAATAGGTGAATAGTTCGGAGGCTTATCCCAACTATCTAAATCTCTAGAGCCCGCTAAAATAAGCAGGAAACCCTTATATAAATGCTTTCGTGTACTTCTTGCTTCCACGTTGACTGTTTTGTGAAGTATTTCCAGCCCTCCTCTCAAACCCAAAAAGTTGAACTCACTAATGCAATATTTCTGGGTCAGCTCATTCACCCAGCGTGGGAGTCCATTAGGGTATAGTGAGGCCACAGACCGAAAAAGCTATGGATCCATGGATATCTAGGGTCACAATCCCCATATCACCTTGCTGGCTCATTCTGGTTGTACTTCCCCTTTGGACTGTACCCCAGCTGTTGATAACACACTGTGAACTCTTGGAGGGGTGTGGGAGCGTCAAAGAGTGGTATATCCTTATGTAGTTTCTGGAGAGGAATATACCTCTCCTGTGTGTCTCTCTCTCCCCCAACCCCCTACCTCTCCAATCCTAGCCATGTCCTGTTTTTGTCCTGCGTGGTAGAGTATCCACATGAATCTTCTTCAGAGAGGAGAGAGACTGGTATGTGAAGTAGGAGGCTTCCATTGCTATCTTCTCTTATGCAGGGCCCAACAGCAGTATCCCATCCCTGTCCCACAGCAGGAGGTGAGGGGAGCATTGGAGTCTGTCTCGGGGGTTATGCTTTTAATTCTAGCCAGGCAAACTACTGTGATCTGAATGGATTTGCTTTATTAACACCTTGCAAGCATCAGTGCTTTTGAACGTTTTAGAGAGTGAAGATTTAACATCGACTTCAGCTGTGCTTTAATAAAGAATGATTTAAAAATCTGTTCTGTTTTATAAACCTTAGAATTTCACAATGGTTGTGCTTCTCACAAAGACCTGTGATGACTGAAATATATTTCCTGGAGCTCTTTGTTTGTGTTTGCATTCAGTCGTAATGAGAGATGATGGAGAGAGATTAGGTTGTTAAGAATATTGTATGTACTGTAAGTGAATGCTGCTT